ACTAACATGCTCATGTGGCAGTCTGCATTTTGTTTTCATGATACTTGGAACACTTCTAATTCCATGTCCTACAACTGTCTGCTCCTACTGCCTTATAAGCTCCAAAACTGAGATCATTTCTTTCTCACTGGTGAATCTCTAACCCCTAGCACAGTAACATGGTAGATACTTAACAACTATCCTATATAATAAAAGCCTAATATGCTAAGTATCAGGTCGACTGGTTGGCCTTTCAATCAAAGCATAATATGCTAATGACATGCTAAGGCCACTCAACTATTCGTCAATCAAAGCATTGACCACCAGGGAGCAGACAGTTGACTGGTCGACCAGGCGCTATGACATGCACTGACCACCAGGGGGCAGACGCCCCAAACAGTAGGTTAGCTTGCTGCTGGGGTCCAGCCAATCGGGACTGAGAAAGATGAGCTGGACACGCCCTGGAGCCCTTCCGCAATCCCTCCCCAGCTGGCCAACCCAGCCCCGATCATGCACCAGTGGGGTCCCTCAGCCTGGCCTGTGGGATTGGGCCGAAACCGATTCTCCGACATCCCCTGAGGGGTCCCGGATTGCGAGAGGGCACATGCCAGGCCGAGGGACCCCGCTGGTGCACGAATTCATACACTGGGCCTCTAGTTTAATAAATAAATGGATGAGTCTATTGCAATGGTTCTAAAATGATATAATGAGATTCAGAGAGGCTAAGTTAAGGCCGTAGCAGTGGAGATGAAAAGGAGAGGTTTTATGTTAGTTAGAATCAAGAAAGAGGAAGCCAAAAAAGAAAGAAATGAAATTTTTGAGCTTAGATGGCTGATTAAACAGTTATATTTTTATTTATAGACTAAAGAAGGTAAAAGATAGCTGACTTTTGTCTTGGACATGTTGAATTTTTCAAGTGTTAGACAAGTAGTAGAAATGAAGTCCTAATCGACTTACTATCTACCATGTGATTTAGCTTCCAGATAATTTTTTTCAAATCAAATTCATGGGAGGTAAGGCTCATATTTTTCTCTTTAGGTACTCATTTTTTTCCTGTGTTACTCCCTTCATCTCCTCCTTATTTGCCTTATAGCCCTGGCCAGCATGGCTCAGTTGGTTGGAGTGTTATCCCATAAACTGTCCCATAAGCCAAAAAATGGCAGGTTTGATCCCTGGTCTGGGCATATCCAGGAGGCAGCTGATTGATGCTTCTTTCTCATTCTCTTTCTCTCTCCCCAACCCCTTCATTCCTCTCTAAAAAAAAATATGTATACACACACACACATCTGCTTAAAAATAACCTGTTTAGTAGATGAAATTTTCTAGCAAAATTGACATTCACATTATGTAAACATACAACTTCAATCTGCATTTTAAACCTACAATCAAGGATCAGCAGATATTAATGACAGAAACTTTTGAGTGGTAATATGTGTTGTACTTAGACTCAAAATGTAACTCTAAAAACTCAACTTTTCACATAAAACTTAAAGGCTCTTTTATCAAATATGCAAGTATGATACTTAACCTGAAAGCACTGTGAATTTAAAGTACAAAAACTGTAAAAAGTATTTACAACACAAGGATTCTATCCATCGAAGCCTGGGAGGAGGTGGGGAGAGAGGGATCTACCACTATCATCACTATTGTTTACAATATAATGAATAATGACAGAAGATGACAAGGAAGTAAAACAGTATAAATATGTTTAATTAAAAAATCTATAAATTTTGAAGATGTCCTACAATATGTCCTACAATGTTACTAATCAAATAAACTGACATAACTCCATCTATATTTTGAGTCAAAACAGAGCTCAAAAACAGCAAAAAAAAAAAAAAAAAAAAAAAAAAAAAGGAATAGAATGGAGTAATTTTGAGTAACATACACTCAAGTTGTAAAGATTGTTTGCCACAGCCCAGCCCCACAATGTGTGGCTCAGTGGTTTATCAACCCACCAGCCAAGAGGTCACAGTTAGATTCCCAGTCAGGACACATGCCCAGGTTGCAGTCTCCATCCCCAATAGGGGGCCTGCAGAAGACAGGAAACTGATGATTCTCATCATTGATGTTTCTCTCTCTCTCCCTCTCCCTTCCTCTCTCTAAAATCAATAAAAAACATTAAAGACAAACAAAAGGATTGTTTGCTACATATCTATAAAACAAGTTTTCTTATCGAAGGTTTTTTTAAATGGGGAAGGAAGTAAACTATATTTAATAATACCATTAATTCTCAAAGACTGTTTATTTTGCTAATCAATTCAACTCCCACTAATTTAATAATGGTCATTAAACATTTTCCCTTGTTATACGTATGTTGCTTTTTTTAGGCAACAAACATTTATCATCTCACCTCAAAGTATCTTAGTTGGGTGATTCCAGCTCAAAGTCTCCCAAGAATTGTAATCAAGCTGTCATGTCTATATATTACTTTTAATGTTATAAAACTTGCAAAGAATTGCCTGCCCCTCCCCCCCACCACCACCACAGAGTTAAATTTAAATTTCATGATGGAGGGTGGGAGAGGGGAGGAACTTGGCTGATAACATTCATCTACATTGAAAAGCCAACAATCTATCACTAATTGTCACATTTTGGGGCATTTTTATGTAAAAGTTGTCTAAATTATACAAACTCCACTTCAAACACTACATTTAAAGATATTTGAAGCCCTATATAATTGAGTTCAATTTGCTAATGCAACTGAGCCTAATCTCGGGAAGACTTCCTGAGGCATTATAATCATCAGTATTTAAAAGAAAGTGAAAAGACGACATAAAAATCTTAAGTCACATAATACAATAGGAAATTCACTAAATTATGTATTATCCACAGTACAAGATAATGACCAAGATATATTATTTTTAGCCCCCTACTAAAGATCAAATTTGTTTCAATTCGATATTATAAATTAATATAGCCAGGAACTTCAATTTCTCCTCTCCTAGAAGAGGAAAAGGAATATCCTAACATTCTATAATAAAATTTTAAAAAATGTTAGATAAACTTTCCTTTATAACTATGCTTCAAACATCCTTTCAGTGTCTTGATAAAAATGCATCATACAGAAAAATATAAGGTTCTAAATTAGGGGAAAATCCTTTCAGTGTGTTTTCAATTTGAATAGCTCACATTATGCCATCCACGTCCATGCACATATTATTTTGAAAAATTTTTAGAGTTAAGATGTATTCAAGATTCGTCATATTAAGTAATATGTGTCATCATTGCTGCTTCTCTATTAAAAAAAAAAAATGCATAGCCCGGCAGGGGTGGCTCAGTGGTTGAGCGTGGACCTATGAACCAGGAGGTCAAGGTTGGATTCCTAGTCAGGGCATATGTCCAGGTTGAGGGCTTGATCCCCAGGGGCGTGCAAGAGGCAGCTGATCAATGATTCTCTTTCACCACTGATGTTTCTATCCCTCTCTCCCTCTCCCTTCCTCTCTCTGAAATCAATAAAAAAAAAACATATTTTTAAAAATAACAACATAGCATTCAATTCTTTAAAATCAATCTCCCATCTCCCCCTCCCTCCCCTCGAAATAAACGTTACTATCTATTCTATGTAGCCAAAAGAAAACAGCAAACACATCTCTGTGGTCTATCCTGGCAAATCAGTGTTTTAGAAACCAATGCAACTGTTATTAATGGCTCAGAACCAAACACTGTAACAAAACGCAGAGCGGAATCCGCCGCCCGCGTGTGTATTCATGTGCCCATTCATAATAACGGGATCCTCGTACAGGTATATACCGATATATCAAAACATCCTTACATAATACACAGGTTGTAATAAAACTGCCCTCTTTGAATGTTCGGAGAAAGAACGATTCCTACAGCTAGCGACGAGAAGAGTTTTAATACCGGAACGGCTGCCACCTATCAACTTTAATTCAAAGCAAAGTACAACTCAATGTCATTTTTACCTCTAATGGAGCCACGACGGAAACACAATGAACTTCACTGTCGGACAGAGCACGGTGGCATCCTAACGGGTTATTTACTTCTCCGATATGTGTGGAGTACATATGCACGGCGTCTTTTGTCCCTCCCACGGCAACCCAGGGTGTCTACATCATCTCGGTCAGAGCACATGACGAGCAAACCCCGCAGCTCATTACTTCGCACCCCAAGTAACAGAAAGTGACGGCCTCCGTCGTCGTTACTACACGGCAGACCGATTCTATAGCCGATGACCCGTCACTGCGTTTGGGGAGGTGGAGTCGGGGAGCCGCGCTCAGAATAGCCCGAGAAGCCTGCGTTCAGTCCTGATACAGAAGCGGCATGAATACAAGCGATATGTGGGTCACACACGGAGGGAGAGAGCAAGCCCAGCTCCGTGACCCTCTAAGTTCAATGCAGACACCAAGAGTCGGGGGCAACGGGGCACACGCCTTCGGGGAAACTGGGGAGCAGCAGACGATCTCCGATGTGCAGTGACCGGCGCTGGCACAAGCCCAGGGCGTGGGCAGCGACCGAGGACTCTCCGTACCCTTTCCCTCCGCACCAGGGTCGGCCAGTGCGCGAGGAGGGTGGCCAGAGCAGGGGGCCAGGCTGGGGGAGGGCAAGGGCCGGGGATCCCCGCCCTGGCCGCGCCCCGGG